CAAATATGAACATTATTTATTATATTTTTTTTTGGGGGGTCCAAGATTTAAATCTTGACATTACTTCGGTATACAATGTATATTGTACACAATGCGACGACCCTTAGAATATTAACATGCGTAAAGACGTTTGTATTGGTCCGCACAGACGTCATTTTGCCATTTTCTTTTGATAATTTATTTGTGATTTTTACATTTTTTTTTTTTTATTGTTTTTCCACAGGGCGAAAATAACGTTTTTGGTACGAGTCTTGAATACAAATTCAGATCAACTTGGCTTTTGTTCGACGACTGTGTATTTTTTGTTATGGAAAAATGTCAGAAGGAAATCTGATTTTCAGATTGAATAGATTATTTTCATTTTCGAACAGAGCTTTTTTTGCAAACAAGTTGATTAACAAAAATTACTCATTTCAATATGGGTTTCTTTTACTATGACATCGATACTTTGTATGGACTAATTATTCGGATTAAGAATTTTAAAAAATTATTTCAAACAATTGCTGTATTAGTTTTAAAATTACACATATAACACTACATTGACAGCATAAACGTTTAAACCAAAAATTTAAGTGGACAACAGCTGTTAATAGTAGTAAATTGTACTTCCAATTATAACATAAGTTTAACAGTGAATTGATAAAAATAGCAAAAATATTACTTTAACGAGTTTTAATACGGTTGAAAAAATATTGAAATAGTTTATGCAGTTGTCTATGAGTGAATTTGAATAATTAATTATTTTAGGGGTTGATACTCTTTACTGATGGTACATTTGTTAATACAGAAAAACTTGATAAACTTAAATGCATGACTTGCCATTATAACCGTACACTTGGACTACCTTCTTTATAAAAAAAATAACGTTTCGCCCGCTGCACTGGAATTTTAATAAAAACTTAAAACAAAAAAAAAACAATTATTGGTCCTGGGTAAATATCGTTTAAAATACCGCGAATGCTTATATAATATGCTTTGGTGCGGATCAGGTAAGGGGTGGTATTGGTTTCCCCGAAAGATGATGATGATTGATGATGTATTTCTTTTATTAAATTTTAATGTACATTTTACAAATACCTAACCGGTAAATAAGGACCATTAACGAGACGGTCTCAAGTATCTAGATATCGAGGAACTTTAAAAATTCAATTACACGATTCGGGCAAAAATACTATATCCTTAATGGCTTACATTTTCTCCAAGATAACATCATGAATATTGTGTAAAACCGTAGGTACATATATTGGTGGTCTCTCTTTATGGCGCATATAAAAATGTACATCACAAAAACGCCGTCTCCTATTAGACGAATATAATATATATATTCAATACATCACGGACCCGTTTAGAAAGCTCAAATTTTTAACAAAATAGTCATCTTCTTAAATGAAATTTATTTTAAATTTAAGTATTGGGCTTAAACACATTATTTAATTTTCATAAAACGCATTTATTTAATATTTACCTTATTTTTTAGATACAAGGCAAGAGAATAGACCAAAAAAAAAAAAAAAGGACATATTTCAACAAGTAAAGAGCACAAAATTACAAAATATAATTTCTTCGACCACTTTGAAGTTTTGAAAATCAAAAGGGCCTAAGTAAGTGTTATAAAATTGCACGCGTTGTTCAATATTAGTTTAATATATGCATCAGAGTTTTATAGAAAGAAAAAATGCAAAACTAAGTTAATGAAACATTGAAATCTGTTAAATTATTGACAACCAATATTACATTGTTGATATTATAGTAATAATATACACAACAGGTACTAATTGAGGAACCCCTAAACTAATAGAATTAAAAAAAAAGGAGAAGTCCGTTTTTTAAATCCAAAGCATCCTAAAAACTGGTTTCCGAAAATACTTTCTAATTAATACCTAATAGAATCATAAACGTACAACACCGTGTGAATATTAACAGGCTTGTTGTCCTGCTAAAGTGTACATATATATTATATGACTCTGTATTGATCCATTTTCCAAGTACAACGTTTCGAGTAACAAGTACCTACCAAATGGAATATTTTGGAAACGCAACACTATATAATTGACACGTCTTGTCTATCAGCCGTAGGCCGAAGCTCACTGTAATTGTGCAACATAATATGTATAATTATATATACCAACATGTATAGGTTTTACCTAAGCCACTGTACAAAAAAAAACAAATCTCCAAAAACAGGTATTGCGGTTTTTACTTTTTTTTCGCTCACACACACTGTATATTCGTATCATAGATAGGCTCGTGTACTCAGAAAATGACTTAAGAGAAAATCGAAAGCACACCACATAATAATAATAATATTGTTCTAGAAAAAAAAAACTACACTACACAGCCGGTGCTAACTAATCTACTCTATACACTAGCTGACCACATGTATTATAATGTACCCGACCGTGTGTAATAATAATATAGGTATGTTTAGTTCGAGAAGGCGTTTTAAAAAAAAATTATAACTGCGTATAACTATAAAAACAAAGTCACACACACATAAGACTGGCTGTGTAAAATCTCATAGGTAATACTTTCTAATATGTACATGTGTAGCGGTCAGGTGTTGTTTCACTCTTTATGCCGTCTGTGTTATTACTATAACGGAAAACGCGTCGGATAAAGCATAAAAAATATTATATTAATACATTAATTTTAACGTTCGCAACAATTATATTACCCGGTTGTAATATTTTTATTAAATTTTACATCTTATTTTTGCTGGAAACGTAATACTAATTAAATTCAACTACTCTTTAATTGAAAAATAACAGCTGCTACACTGTTTCGCGAAGAAAAAATTACATTTTAGAGTAGGTATATATTTTTTTTATGTCTTGCTTTATCGCGAAACAACCGGAAACTCGTTGAAGTCCCAAAACACTTTTTAATTAAAACGAAAACGAGATACTTTTCCCGCTTTTATTACATCAAAGAAAATAGAAAAACTTTGAACGCAACGTACAGGTGCAATGTGTACAATATACATACATTACTGAACTAAAAGGTAAAATATTCTCTCAAGGGGGATTCATATCAGATTTGTATTTTCTTTGATTATTTTGCTAAGAAAACGCACAGCTTGAAATAGTGTTGCTTAATATCAGATGAAACCTAAATGTAATTCCTTAATTGCGTTTCGCTATTTCTTATCTACTAGGAATTTGCCGAGGGACTGATTAAAAAAAAATGATAAAACCAAATGCCACTGTGTCCACTTCCACAGACTGAACAGCTTACATAATACTTATTGGATTACATTCTCCGGAAACTAACATTATACTTAAGGCTTATTTATTTCTACAAAAACTTCACCGCTTATCAAGTTACACGAAAGTTAATCAGATATAAACACACGATAAACGAGTAGGGTTTATTTGAATATAAATAGATAGGTACTGTGCTTTGTTGGATAAATTTGAGAAAAAAAACATTAGAGTGGTTCCATCTCTAATATAAAACATAATTTATTTTGTAATTTTAACATTATAACTGTAAAAATGGATTATTTCAATACATCTAGGTCTAATATTTACCTTATCCAACCATTGCTTCTTGAGTTAAGTTAGGTTTAAATAAAATATTCGTTTGTTTTTGTTAATGACTAATTGCATAATTTCTATTGTAAATATAATACTCGCCAAAATATACTTAGCAAAATAATTAATCAAACACAATATGTACAAGTTGAGATAACCAAGGTCTTACTATCAGTAAATTATAAACCCACCTGTAATGAACGTTACTTTTTAGAACTACTTGGGTATATTGTTGATATTGATGTACATTTTCTAGTAAACTGTAAAAATAACTGCAATTTTCGCTACAGCAGCGTTAAATTAACTGTAAAAATAAACATATAGACATTGACATTTCAAGTAAGCGCGATAGTGCATAATTAGTTTTTAATTTGCTCATAATTGATACCCCATGAGACTAGGTAATCCTAATGCTTAACAAAATTATGGCAAACGTGCGAGTTACGTTTTTTCCTGCCGCACCATCTTAACCATATCTTAAAGACGTGCGCTGTGCTGTTGAAGCATATAGATCTTTGAAGAAAAAGATAGCCAGATAATAGATATTTATCTATTAAGGCACTGTTGCCGGGTTGCACCAAATATTTACACAGAAATAAACTCGTTTAACTGGGTTAAAATAAATTCTGTTGCATAAAACATGTTTTAAATTTTATCTGTTGTTAAAAATGTACTTTATCACGAGAGGGTCATTTATCGCTGTGTAAAAATGTATGTATATTTAAATTTTGTTATCAATATTTTGCGTTAAAGTGGTGATAATGGAAATGTGCGTTATCAGTTTATCATTGATTAGACCCTGTATGATAATAATATCAACTCTTATTGGTGATACCATTTATTCGATAACCAGTATACTGGTAATAACCTGAATATAAAACAACACTCGTGAATTTAACACATGTTAATTCAACAAAAGATAAAGTTTAACAAAAGTTAGTTTTTTACGGCGGTAAATAATTCACCAACACATAACGACAAGTTTGGGCATGTGAGTTTTACAGCTACAAAATATTGTCATTGCAGAAATATTCACCGGTCCAAATAGAAGGGGTCTTGAAGAGAGGGGGGGATCTAAGTGTTCCCGAAAATTACTAGGCCGGCGACGGCGGTTTTCCCCTCCCTTCGGCGACGGCTGTTCTCGCGCAGGTCGCGGTTTGGCGGTATGTGGATCGTGCTATCGATCGTGTCTACGGTTTAGATCATAGACGTGTGCCATCTTCATACCCTCTCTAATCGGCGGCTGTCATTTTCAGGTGTAGGTCTGTCTTTTTTTTGGGGGGGGGCGCAATTTCGCCAACATAACATGAGTGGAAGAGTGAAAGAAAAGAATAAATCAAGAAGCCCGGCCGAGACAGGACAGTATCATTATGGCGGGGCTTCGTCAAGGTCACCTGGGCGTCCGGTGCGAAGAAAGTGAGAGTACAGGCTGCCGCCGCATGCCACTGTCCGCTACCGGTATCCGCTTTTACTCGCGTCCGGTCCGCTGCCGTCTGCACTTTCTTCGTTCAGTCGCATCGCAGTCGCCGTCTCGGGCCGTCGCACTACAACACCACAACAGGTCCGTCGTTGGAATAATTATTATTAAAAAGTACAAGTGTCGTTTTTTTGCAAAAATACCACCCTCCGGACTTGGCGGCGAACCTCCCCCGCCGGCGCACGTGTTTATGGTGCCCGACTGTCGACGATGCGGCCGCCGCAGCTGCAGCTGCTGCACGTCATTTGCACCGTGTACCTGACGACACTGGCCACCATGGTTGCGATAACGGACTGCCAAGCTGTGCCGACCACCGTGGTAAGTATATGGACCTCTACATCCTACTTAACGATTGATTCCTAAGAAGTAGTGAGCTCGAGTTCCTCGCCCAATCCGTTTGGGAGAATAGATATGCATCTCCTAGGAACGATATGTAGTTTAGCTCAATCCAAGTTAGACTCGTTCCTGTCACAGTGATTGTCATATTATTATGTATTTTACCGTTACAATTTCATAATACATCCAAAATGTGTTTCTGCAGCAGAACTCTGCCGGTTCAAACGACACGGCACCGTCGAACAGACAACACGACAAGAGGATATTCTTCGACGACATATTCGGATCGGTCAGCTACGAGCCCGAAGAAAAGGTGCCCGTCGGAAATTGCACTTGCAGTGAGTAGTAATATGTAATCAAGTTATATTTATTATGTGATCACACGAGCGAAACCCGGATTCGTAAGTGTGTACACTGTACCTCGAGGAGAAATCGTTTATTATTTTTTTTTTTCGAAAACGTGCATCGTGTATATTGTATTTTTCGGAATTCCCACGCGATTGTCTCGCCTACTTGTCTGGAAAAACAAAATGGTTTAGATAAGAATACCGCGAGTGCACGTCCGCCGGTAAAACTCTAAGCCACGTGCGAGCGCACGAGAGACTTTAACGGATTCTCAGCTATGAGTTTGTTTAGAATGGCCGATTCGATTGGCATTAACAGATACCATAAAATTATGCACCCTCTCTAAAAAAAAAAAGCCGAACACCAACTAAACACTAGACAATTTTGCATCACTTGCCAAAAATGCCAATCTTTAACACACAGAAAAACGAGCATCATTCGCGTTAGTATAGCTATTAAATTACAATAGCTATTGTTTTAGTTTGTTCTGTAAATATTCATTGATAATAATAATATTATCATCGTACCGTGTTCAGACAAGAATAGGATATCGCCCTGCCACATCTTATTGGCACCGGTGTGACATTAATTACAATACAATTATGATTGTGATAATTGGGAATATACAGTCGTGTGTACCCACCGAGGAAACCCGTCTACGGTTTTCGCTTGTTAAGTGAAATCTACCTGCTGGTGTTTTGAATAATATAATATACACAGACACTAGCTAGTTTTTTTATGTATATTTTTTTCCCCTCTAGATTGCGGAGTCCCCAATCAAGAAATCCGCATTGTGGGCGGACGACCTACCGGGGTGAACAGATACCCTTGGGTAGCCAGACTCGTGTACGAAGGCCACTTTCATTGCGGGGCGTCGCTCATCAACAGCGATTACGTGCTGACGGCTGCTCACTGTGTCCGGAAGTAAGTGCCAATATGCTTATTGTTTTCTTTCAATTCGTTAGGCAAACCCGTGTGTGTGTGTGTGTCTGTCTGCGAATTGCAATGTCAACATATAAAATATTGTGTTAACAACAACTGGGACCGTCGCACGTTTGGCTTGTTTAACATAATATTCGTTTAAAAAGACGAACCGCATAAGAAGAAGATGTAGCTGAGGCAGGCGATTCCCAAGTGGAAGTCGGTAGTCATCCGTATGACTGAATCGAATAACTGGTGTTATCATCGGCCACTCGGCCTATAATAATACCACCGACAATACAGAGTATCCCATAAAGACCTAAAAAATTAAATTACCTTAAGTTGAAGATGTTTTTTTTTCCATACTCATTGGCGCTTGACTCTATCGCACTACACCTCCCCGCATTTGAACTTGAACAACTTTAAAAGTAATTATCCAAAACTGGCTATCTTATATTGGAAAAAATTTAAGTAATCAAAATAATAAAACAGTCTAGTCGCTAAAATGTCAATTTAAAACATTAACTCCTATATTACACATGCTTATGCCCGGTTGCACCAAACTTGACGTTATCTATTGGTAAATTATTTACCACCTTAAAAAACTAACTTTTGTTAAATTAATATGTGTTAAATGTACGAGTGTTGCTAAAACGTTGTTTTATATTCAGGTTATTACCAGTATACTGGTTATCGAATAAATGGTATCACCAATAAGAGTTGATATTATTATCATACAGGGTCTAATCAATGATAAACTGATAACGCACATTTCCATTATCACCACTTTAACGCAAAATATTGATAACAAATAACTAACTATACATATCTAACAATACAATCTAACTATACATACATTTTTACACATCGATAAATTGACCCTCTGATTTAACTCGTGAGTTTTTAAGTAGTAGGTCAATTAGTGTAAGTCACCGCAACTTGTTTTGTATTTTCTTGAACATAAATCGGATTAAGGATGACGTAAGGGACTTGCTGTAAAAGTGATAAACACTGGTCTCTCGACCGCTTTAGATTACTTTTTCCAATTTGTAACTCCGTAGTACGTGCCGCTGCGTCGTGTCACGAACTAATGTTTGATTTTCTTAAATGAACGTCCCCCCGGGTCTGTTTGTGTTAGCCCTGCCAGCTTGTATTCGACTGTGTACACGTTAAGTAATTGCCAAGGCCCATATCTGTGTTTATCTTCTGTATTTACTTTTACTCTCTGACGTGGGCTTTCGTGGCAGTTGGGGTTTTCAGAAAGCCTTATCAGAGAAAGTCGACTGGTGTGTAAACACACAAGAGACAAGTGTCGCTTCTATATTGTACATAATTATTCATAACACACCAATGCGATTACGGTGGTTGGCCAGCGATCGTTGTGCCAATGTAGTTTAAATATTTTTTTTAAATAATAAAACAGCTGGGTTTTTTTCTCTGGTTTAGGTTAAAGAAATCCCGAATCCGTGTCATACTCGGCGACCACGACCAGAGCATCACCACCGACGGCGAAACCATAACCAGAATGGTGGCATCCATCGTGAGACATAGAAACTTCGACGTCAACTCTTACAACCACGACGTGGCCCTGCTGAGGCTGAGAAAAGCCGTCACGTTCTCCAAGGCAGTGCGGCCCATATGCTTGCCGACGCCCAGTGAGTATATTATACAGACCACAGAACTATATAAGGCGATAATAAGGTAATCTCATTTCTCTGAAGTTGATCCAAAAAAAAAACATCCGTTTCGATTAACCATTAGCGTTCCTATCTGTGATTCAAGATAACAACCAATCGTAACGCGTTATTATTTTGAATTGTGGTTATAATCACAATTTGTGTAAATTCGAAGACGTTGTCCGCTTGGAACGCTAGTCCCTGCTGGAGATTTTGTAATTTGCATAGGATTAACTGGCAAGCTGTCATAGGTTGCCAAGCCATCCTATAGTATATTTTTTCTTATCAATAACCAGGTTCTAACCACGAGGCCGTATTGGTAAAGACGGCAGGTCTCAGAGGGTTTTGGCACTCGCTCCGCTAACCTATAAATATCCTAGGTTTGCCGGCTACAGTCTAAGAGGAGGTTACAGGTTTAAAATTAAGTTTAAGTAAAGTTATCACTGACATTTTGTGATAACAGTAACCACTGTGGTAACTTGGGAGCTTCTGACTATCTGACATCCTATGACCACGGGAACCTATGACCGAATGCCGAATTAACTTAACGGGGGGGGGGCAACCATATTGTTATCTTGTGCTTTTATTATATGGAAAATATGCATTAGACTCCTGGAAGGAGTTCCCTTATAGACTGAAACTTGGCCAACACCTAAAAACAACAACTAACCTAACCTAACCTACCAAACCTAACCAAACCTAACCAAACCTTACCCAACCTAATCCAACCTAACCCAACCTAACCTAACACCGTCAGAAATCCCATTAATACAATATAATCGTCATCGACTAAATTACACATGTTCACAGCCAGAGAACCGTCCGGGAAGATGGGAACGGTAGTCGGTTGGGGTCGGGTGTCCGAAGGCGGTAACCTAGCCACTGTTGTGCAAGAAGTGCAGGTGCCCATCTTGTCGTTGGCCCAGTGCAGAGCTACCAAATACCGACCGCAACGGATCACCAGCAACATGATTTGTGCGGGAAGAGGAGTGGAAGATTCTTGTCAGGTAATTTAACTTTGCACTACTGTATTCTTATACAACACTATTATACCTGTTGGTCGGTTAATCGATTACTCGGCCGTTACAATACACAGCCGTCCGTCATTTAGTCGTCGATAATAGCTCCGTTGATGTATAATATAGTTGCGACTACTAAATAGCGGACCACGACGAGTAATAGTAATAATAATATAGCAGTCATAATTACCGTCTACCGCGACCGCGGATAACCGTTGATTAACTTTCTAGAACGGTAAATAATAGTAATAATAATAACTGTGTTTTTATACAGGGAGATAGCGGCGGTCCTTTGTTGGTGAACAGCGAAGCTGACGACAAGTTAGAAATCGTCGGTGAGTTATTCAGGCCCGAGAGAAATCTACACCTAAAATATATATATATATATATATATATATCTATATATATATTATTATCGCTATCATTAGTAGTATTATGTTGTTATTATAATATATATATATATGTATATTTGGATCAGAAGGTCAAGGTGTGGTGGTGACTTAACGATGCGCCAATATACGAGTAGCACCGACTCCGTTTGATCTTGAAACAACAACTTTAACATTATTTCATTATTTGTTTGTTTTGTAGGCATTGTGTCGTGGGGAGTAGGATGCGGACGACCAGGTTACCCAGGGGTGTACACCAGGGTTACGCGATACTTGGATTGGATACAGAAGAACATGCAAGACACTTGCGCTTGTATAAGATAGCACACGCTCGAATGGAAGGCCACGACGATTACCGATTGGTACCAATTACCATATGTTAGCTGTAATTATTTTAAAATATGTATTTATTATTGGATTATTTTTTTTTGTCAACTATTACCAAATAAATTATTTTTATTTTTTACAATCATTATTAACAGCTGTTGTTATTTTTGTGCGAAACCTACAAACAAAATATAGTGTTATCCCGGTCGCACTCCACTCCTTAAATAAACCTCATAACGCGTACGGGGTATAATATTAACCGTTGGCTGAATATATTATTACTATAGTTTTGTACCCAGGTCTGCACGTACCTAGTAAACAAGAAGGTCTTGTGCCCAAGTCAATGACCCTTTGGATTTCAGTTAAACTGATAGCTGATAGATAATCAAGCTCATTCTGTTTTTTTTTAGACACACATAATATATAATTATATCTGGAATTTGGATATGAATATGTATATATATTTCTGTGTGTATGTGTGTGTGTGTGTGCCACGCATGTGTATACAATACCAATTAATCGGTCACAACACACACACACAGTAGGTATAATAGCTGTGCAGTTATGCAAGAGAAACACGTTTTATCGGATCGACGGACAGCACGTGGAATTAGCACGATACAAAAGTGGATTCTCGTTTGTTATTCTTAGGTCGTAGGTATTCAATTAATGGTCTTATACACGATATGTCTTATACCGTTAAGATACCCAACCCGCAGCGACTTCGGGTCACAGTCATGACACTGAATCGCCAAGGTTCGCGGCTCCTCGCCAGTGTATTGCTGGTAACATGTGTACAACAGGCAAGTCGACGATTGGCGCGCACAATCTCAATATTAATATTATCTATCTCCTTACCTGCTCGGTTTCCATTTGATTATCATCATTTTCACAGGGTGTCGGCCTCAGAAAGTACACCACGGATTTCGAGCACCGCAGACCTACTCCACAGGGTATCGCCGATTTGTTCACCAGGAGAGGCGAACAATGCGAATGCAGTAAGTACTAAAACCTACCAACAGGATAAAATATTATATTCATCCGGATGTGTAGTAACACTTGTGTGGAAATTTCTTGTAAAATCTTGTGGTCGTTAACGGTCCACATAGTTAATTATCCGAACCTATATAAATATTTACATTAAAATTATATTAATTTATCGTTGTACTAATTAGATGATAGTTAATAAAAATGTATCCTTAACCAGTTCAGAACGGGTTCATATAAGTGTTAAGCTGTTTCGTTTATTTGTCCGAGTTTTAAATCATTATCTTATATCTTTGCGGCGTAATTGTGTACTATTAAATTATCTGAATACGTTAATAAACAGCGTAAATTAAGCTCTGTAAGAGTTATACATTTTTCTGAAAAAAAAACACATTTGTAGTTAAGTATAATATTGTAAATAAATAATAATTTTTAAAAATCTAACATAAAAAAAAACTTAAAATTTTTTCGAATCCTTGAACAATAAAATACCAAATAAAATAGCATTTTCTTCTAAATGACTACAATTCAAAAACATACTAAAAATAGAAAGGAAATACCCATTTATCATAATATTTTATTTAACCGATTAAAACACGCTTTTAAAAATACATACCGTGCAAAACCAATACTTTTCCACTTTTAGACAGCTGCTATAAGATGTCTTGTTGGTATTAAAAAATATAAATAAATGTACACAAATAAAAAAAACAATTTCTCGTTTAATGCATAGGACGTTAAAAACCTTTAAAATTATTATCACACGTCTTCTTGTAGTAGTTGTGGGTATAGTATGGAAATAAAAATTTTAAAAAATCCAATTTTATCTACTATAATTTAACGGTAAAGTAAAATAATATAGGGGAGAATGGGGGAATACCAGTTCGTGGGTAATACCGGTCAATGGAATATCTCTTAAAATATGATAGCTAAAATTTAGATGAGCACATAATTTGATAACTGCTGTTACCAGAACCTAATACCAGATGTTTCAAAATGATAAACAACTTTTTTCCCACCAAATAATAAGTATCAATTTTTTTATCACTTTTGTTGTAATATTTTTCCAAAATAAAACTCATCTAAAATTAGTATTTCTAATTTTTTACTATATTGACTGTTTCTAACCTTACCCAACAAATATTTCCATTAAACATACAACGTCTTTGAACAATATTATTGTACAATAGGTCTAACATGATATTTTGATCATAATTTCTATGTTTTTTAGGAACTTAAATTTTTCCCTATCATTTTACATATTGCATTTTTTGGTGACTGGTATTACACCCCGCTTTATGGGTAATGGCGGTCAATTGAACTTTTTAAAAAAATAAACATCTAACTTAATTTTAAAAATCTTAAACTTGTATACATAACACCTAACAAGTTTGTTGTTCGATTTTGAAGAAAGGACGGAATTTCTGGACTTTTAGTCGCAAAGATATTTCAATTCTCGCTTCATATACAAATTCCCTCCACCATTCCCTAAGTCTACCAATGTGCATTTGTTTTGCCCACAAAACAGGCTGTGGAGTGCCCAATTCTGATACCAAAATCGTCGGAGGCGACCCAGCGGACGTGCACGAGTTCCCGTGGATGGTCCGACTGTCTTACTTCAATCAGTTCTATTGTGGAGGCACGCTGATCAACGACCGATATGTCTTGACCGCCGCGCACTGTGTCAAAGGGTAAAGACGGGGGGCTTCGGTAAGAAATTCCAAAGGGGCCACAAAAGAAAATAATATGTTACTGTGTGTTCGTATAGGTTTTTTTGGCCACTCATCAAAGTCACTTTGGGCGAACACGACTACTGTAACGCCACCCGGAAACCGGAAACCAGATTCGTCTTGAGGTCCGTGGTCGGCCAGTTCAGCTTCTTTAACTTCCAAAACGATTTGGCCCTGTTGAGGCTCAACGACCGAGTGCCCATGACCGTCACCATAAGACCCGTGTGCTTGCCCACCGACGAGAGTACGTTCCAAGTGACTGTAATTACGTTGAAATAGCGCAAATTTGATAAAAATTCTTAAATAAGTATTCATTTACCGGTCGAAAATTCACTCTGAATAGCTAAGGCCATGTTGAAAGAGCATAGTACAATGACCGTACCCTTACTTTTTCTTATCTATTTAGTACTATCAGTTCAAAATATTGATATTACCCTTTGTATTTTATAAAATATATTTGTTTAAATTAGTCATAACTTTTTAGTTGCTAATACATATTAAAACCTCTTAAAGAAATTTGTCAAGTCATTAAATAAATTATTGTTTTGACTTTCGTATAAAAATTATACTCTACTTTTAGTTTTACGAAAATGGTCACGCTGCGACGCTCTATGGCAGTCGCGTTTTTATGTGATAAGTATCTTCTCCGTGTTAATTGTTATCAGTGTCCGGGGGCCTGATGATAGTAAATCCTTTTTTTAACAACTGCTAGCGGGTCACATTCCATGTCAAATCATCTGATGTGTGTGCTAGTGGACTTTTGAAATGCCTCAAACTTACATATCCTATGCAGATAGTTCCATAAAATCAGAAAAGTAAAGAAAAATATATTTTTTTAAATTTGTTTTTTGGACTTACGCGATGCTATATTCCAAAACTTTGTTGTGAAAACACCTTAAGTTCACGATAACGTTACCTATTTAATGACTATAGTTATGATATCGAAATGGAACTTTCACTGAACCTTTTTTTAATTTAAGTGTTCTTTTTCATAATTTACTTGAACAATTTTTTTTTCTTCAAATTTTGAAGTACTTAAAAATTGGAAAACAAATAAAAAAATTTATGAATTTCACTCAACTTTTTTACTTACTCAAGATCAAAATGTCAACACTTTTTTTATTATAATACATCATACTATACTTGTTTGATCCGTAACTTTTTTTTTTGTGTATAGGTTACCTCAAAGTTTGGCATTTTAATAAAAAGTGATATATTTATAAGAGCCTAAAACTTTTTATGGCATGAACCAAAACTTCTGCAATTTTTACAGCACTTACTTATATGTATGTAGAACATTTTGTAAAAGTTTTTTCTTGACTTTTCTGATTTTTTGGAACTATCTGCATAGGATATGCATTCATATACATTTTAAAAATCCACTCGCACACATATCAGGTGATTTGACATGGAATGACCATAGGTTTTTTTTAAATTTGACTGTAGAGTTAATGCACATAAGCTCCATACGGGTTTTAAATTTATTGACAAAAAAACTACAAACGGCTATGAAAACTGTCGATGCATAAATAGCGCAAATTACAAACAAGCAACTTTCTTTTTTTACAACGTTCGACAAGAGTCGAGTTCGAAAAAGGTCAGACTACCTAAAACAGTGTATTTTTGGCAACAACAAAATTTGAAAATCAACCAAATAAGAACGGCTCCAATACATAATAATCATGATAGTATGTACATATAATATGTTGTTGTCATTTCGATTGGTAACTTTAAATATTGGAAAATTTACACAACACTCTTTTTATTGTAACCGAAATAGTACAAGTGATAGTCGCTTCTTAGTTATAAGAAATTGTGATGTATGACACAACACTTGAGGTATTAAACAAGTACATACGGATCAAATAGGGGGGACACAATCAAATTAATAGAGTTGGAAGTATATATATATATGTGGTGTACCTATCAACCATAATTATAGTTGATCAAACTATGGATATACAGGGTGATCCAACTAATGTAAGACACTCTCATTTTCTCTGCAAATATGAATATTTTGAGAATTTTTTTCTTTTCCTAAACTATTAGGTACATATATTACTATATTTTTCAATATTTTGACAATTTTTATCACCAATCCTTATAAGCCAAAAAGGGGGATTTTTGTTTTTTTCTAAATGGCAACATATGTTTTAATTACATAAATTTGTAGACGAAAAATTTTCAAATATGTTAGCGTATGAATTTCTTATTTTCATTTATCAGATACTAAATTAGAAACTTATTACAATAATTGTTTCTCGCATTGTAAGCATTAAGATATTATATAATACTAAGATATAAATAAATTGTCGTAGAAAGGTTTGTGGAAAATAACATGGAACTGAAGTGGCATTTTGTTTGCTGTTATTATTATTGCAATTATTCTTGTTCGATGCAAATCGAATAGAATTTAAAATTCTACATACAAACTATAAAGGTCACAAAGGTTTTCCATAGATAATCTAACGTCTGCATTAAGAAGTTAGATTAGTGTTATTCAATGTATAATATGATTTTCAGGACATTCTATATGCTCATTCTTGGTTATAGTGTGATAAAAGGTCAATCAAATATTAATAAAAAAAAAAATACCCGTGTTTGTAAAAGTAGATAATAAAAGATATAAAAAAGCTAAACAAATATTATAATACCTAGATAAAAGGCAAATAATTTTTTCCCACAAAATATAAAGCTGGTAAAAATGTATGAATACGTTTTTCCGGTTTCTCTACTTATGTCTTAGTGGTTGATAATGAGAGCTGTTGTTATTATTTTACTGTCAAGTAATAGGTATAACGAGAAGCCCTAACGTTAACGTTTAAATGAATTCAACGAAAACGACTAAATATAAATATAACTAATAACTACAGATTATCATTTTAAACTATAAATGTACCTACCTGAAAGTTAAGGGGGGGGGGAATTGTTGTGATAGTATCCGCCGGATATTGGCCAGACTTTATTAGGTAATTCAATCTGGATTTTAGCACTTACCAACGTGTGTGTGTGTGTGTGGTGTTATTCTACGACTAGTAGTAATTTGAACGTTTTCTTTCTTTCTGTATTTTCTTGCAGACGACACTTATGTCGGCGACACAGGCAAGACGGCCGGCTGGGGAACTTTATACGAAAACGGCAAGCCTTCGTGTGTTTTGAGACACGTGGACGTGCCCGTGGTGGATAACGAAACGTGCGGCACGATGAACTACACCGAAGGTCTGATAACGGAGAACATGATATGTGCCGGACACGAGCTGGGCATGAAAGACTCTTGCCAAGGAGACAGCGGCGGACCGCTGATGAGACGGTTGGAGAACAAACGGTTCGAAATCATCGGTAGGTTAAGACGTTATATAATTCAAGTATCTTTGTCCAGAAATTCCGTTCTTTCTTGAAAATCGAACCACAAACTCGTTACGCGTTATGTATACGAGTTTCAGATTTTCAAAATTTTAAGTTAAATTTTAAACTTTTAAAAAAGTGCGAATGACCGCCATTGGTCCAGTGTTGCCAAAATTCAAAAATGACATTAACGTACTATGTCTTCAAAATTATCGTAATTAACATTAAATTGCCGTACACGAAACATTTTACACCGTCTTGGCGAATTATGTAATATAACAAAGCTATACGGGATCCATCAATTCATATTTTTTTATGTACGGTAATTACCGTACGTCTGGCAACACTGGCCGCCCATTACCCGTATAGCGGGGTGTAATACCAGTCACCAAAAAAAACACAATAATATGTAAAATGATAGGGAAAAATTTAAGTTCCTAAAAAACATAGAAATTATAACAAAATATCATGTTAGGCCTATTGAGTACAATGATATTGTTCAAAGACATTGTATGTTTAATGCAAATATCAGTTAGGTAAGGTTATTACTTAAGTTATGTTAGACCGTTGTTACCCCATCAGTTTTGACTGGTATTACCCCTATCAGACTTTTTTTAAATACATGTATTTACTTAAAAGCTGTTAAAATGTAATCCTTGCCAGTTTGTGTTATATTAGAAACAGTCAATATAGTAAAAAATTAGAAATCCTAATTTTAGACGAGTTTTACTTTGGAAAAATGATAAAAAAATTGATACTTATTATTTGGTGGGAAAAAAATTGTTGATCATTTTGAAACATCTGGTATTAGGTTCTGGTAACAACAGTTCTGAAATAATGTGTTCATCTAAATTTTAGCTATAATATGTTAAGAGATATGCTATTGATCGGTATTATCCACTGACTGGTATTCCCCCATTACCAACTACAAACTTGTTAGGTGTTATGTAAGTTTCAGATTTTTATAATTAAGTTAAATATTTTTTTTAAAAAAGTGCAAATAACCGCCATTACTTATATAGCTAGGTATTACCAGTCACCAAAAAACACAATAATATGTAAAATGATGGGGAAAAATTTAAGTTCCTAAAAAACATAGAAATTATGATCAAAATATCATGTTATCAGTATTGATAACATGATAACAATACCTATTGAGTACAATGATATTGTTCAAAGACATTGTATGTATACCCCATCAGTTTTGACTGGTATTACCCCTATCAGACTTTATTTTAAATACATGTATTTACTTAAAAGCTGTAATATTTAGGTACACAATGAGCAAATAAATGCAATCTTTGCCAGTTTTGTGATACATTAGAAACAGTCGATATAGTGAAAAAGTTAGAAATTCTTAATTTGAGATGAGTTTTATTTTGGAAAAATATTACAACAAAAGTGACTCCGCAAGCTGTGGTCAAAATTTTTTTCTTATAAAATCCATATAAATTTATTTTGTAAAATGTATAATACAATCAACGTTCAAAGTTCAATATATTTTTACAGTCTATTGTGTTACATCATCATTAAATTTTGACTCGGTAATTGAAACGTTTGCAGTGAAAAAATAAATCTTTGTAATTTTTAAAAAAATTGTATGATAAAATGTTATAAAAAAATAAAATATATTCTTTTTATTTAATTTCAATACTATATAAAACAAACAGCTGTTAAATTAATAAGTTATTTTTCCGTTTTTATGCAAGACTGCAAATTAATTGATTTTAATTTAAATTATAACAAACTTCTTAAGTATTTTTTATGTTTCAATATAGTATAATTTTGTAATAGTATTTAATTAGTATTATGTCTTCATTGTCCTTAATTTACAAAACCAAGTAAGAAAACTTTTTTTATTTACTTAACTCAAAACAATATGTTATGTAATTTTATAGGAATCGTTTCGTGGGGACACGGGTGTGCTCGTCCAGGGTTTCCAGGAGTATACACAAGAGTGGTCAAGTATTTGTCTTGGATCAAGGAAAATGCCAAAGATGGATGTTATTGTAAGGAATAGTGTAAGATAAAGCTTAATATTCATAATTAAGAGTGTGTAATGTGTAACTTGGAGTTTATTTGTCTCTAAACTATTATTTATTTTACAATATTATACATACATATATCATATATATTTAATAAATTTAAATGAATCAATAATCAAAAAGAAAATTGTATTATGATGAAACACTTGTATATAATAATTAGCCGGTAGTTGTTTTGAAGCTTTATGTACCATCCCTAAATCTAATTAATCTAATCTAGTTTATAATACATACTGTATTGCATAATTTATTTTGGATGTCGTCAAAATTTGTTTAAACCTATACATTATGCAGGCATTCATTATTTTCAAAACCAGATCTAAATCTATTAGAATAGGATTTGGTTATTTTATTTTCAAACTGATCAATTACTAATTAACAAAAATGTATATTCAATATGAACATTTAAAATACATTTTACACTATCATATACTTCTAAAAAAAAAAATTAAAAATAAATTACCAACAATAAAAACAAGTTGCAACTTGTCATTAATCTTTTAAAAATAATAACTCAAACGAATACCTTCATAAGTATAAATACAATTGTAAAATACTCATACATTAGTACCTTCTTAAATAAATTAACTTTTTTATATTTTTGAAAGCATATTCCTGTAATATTTCCTGTTCCAGGGACCATTCCTAGTAGCACGTCATTAGATTTAATACCATTGACTAGTTTACGGTACTCGGTGAGCATTGTGTATGAATTCGTACCTATAATTATTATTTATAGACTAACAGTACAAGTTCAGCAGTCTTAGAAGGGTAGATTAGATAAGATGTCCCTTCAAAAAGTCTAACTTTGCAAAACAAATTTACCATCTCCAAATAATTGTTTGATTGACACAACCCAATTACTTCAAAATGTTTAAACTTCTAATTTTATTATGTAATAATATAATTAACTATTAAACATAGTTTTTATGTACAAATTATAAAAATAGACAGCTTTAAAAAAAAAAAAAAAAAAACATTAAATATTTATCGAATTTACCTTTTAAAATCAAAAATACTATGTTTAACGATATCAATTACACAGCAACATAGGTCGTATAAGATTATTGTGTTTTTGAACAGATTTCCATTAACCAATAATTAATAGTACGATATTTTTGTGCACTCGGTACGTAATTTTGTCTTAAATATTGAATTTGTTTAACAATACAGAACAGAAATGGTAGCAATTGAAATGAAATTTAAATATAAAAAAAAAGTTTAACAATTTCAACTTCTAACTTACAGTTCTACAACATAAAAAGCGGGTTTTTTTTTTAAACGGTCAATACTAGGTTCCCGTGTCTCTTGTACGAAAATGACCAATCCGTCTACTTTAAAAAAACATAATAATATAAAGTTCATACAAATTCTATACTTGAAACAAATAGGTACAAAATGGCGATAATGTAATTATGTTGATAAATTAGGAAGTATTCGTACAATATATTTTAATCAAATTCGCCGAGGTATACGACTTTATCACTGGATCCGGACATGACTGAAAAAAAAGAATTAAAATTAAAATGAATACACAAATTTATTATCGTCATATTATGCCGTCGCTCACGAATCGGTTCCTTGGGATGAAAATCTACATCGTTCACGCTGCCGTTGTGGCCGGGTAACTTGTACAATATTCTACGGGTGTTGGCGTCCCATACGTAAACAAATCGATCGGCTGAACCGGCCGACACTTTTGAACTGTCCGGCGACCACGCACATCTCAGCAAATTCTAAAAAAATACAAATACATTATTGTTGCAACAAAAACTAATAATAATAACATAAACGACATATGAAATATCAAATAAACACCTTTTCGAAATTATGAGTGTGACCGGAAAAAACTTTCAGACATCTGTCGGCCGGGGCGTACGGTCGGACGTCCCAAATCCGTAAGCTGTTGTCCATTGCGTTTGACAGCAAATAAGATCCGTCCGGCGACAACTCGAGTCCAGTGATAGTATCCGAATGACCAAGCAAACGATGGAGCAATGCGTTCTTACGTAAATCCCAAACCTAGAGCACAAATTAAACACGGCTTTTATTACTTATCCTATCTGCGATAATACATAATTTAAATAAAACTTAATTAAGAAATTAATCTTAAACCTTAGACATATAACGACCCCATTTGTACAGGATAAGAATAAAAAAGAAATAGAAAAAAGTATGTATAAAAGACTAAAAGATAACCTCTAAGCTTTACTTGACCCTTTATTAGAGATCAACTAAGAAACTGGAATATTAGACATCGGATAATACAAAAAATATTAATCTTGAAAAAAAGGTGAAAAAATTGTTGTAAAGTTAAGTAACAATTATTTTATAAAAAAAATATTCAAAATTGAAAAACAGATTTCATTAAATTATATTTTTTATTTTTAGATACGATATTTTAAATGTGAAACGGTAGCGTAATACATTATTTGTGTTACAAATTGACAAACTGTGATTTTCTAATGCCCAACCGAGCCCGAACAAAGCTTATTACACAGTGGTGTATTTACAAGGGATGATTATTTCACCCCCCAAAACCTTAATTTGTATAAATATAATATTATTAATAACCTATTTTGTTAAAAAAAAAAATTCCTCTCGTAATCGTAGAAGTCTTGGATGTAATGTCCAATTTTTTTTCGTGATTTGAGAACTTGAAATAGGATTTAAACACAATTTTTATTAAAATATCCAAAATAGATTCCTACAATAACCTAGAAAAGATAAACTCGACCATTTTTTATAGAAATTAATCTGACCAGCTTAACAGACCGCTTTCAACCGCTTAAAAGAAAAAAAATGATGGTTGTTTGTTTGGTTGTAAAGACAAGATTTACATAAGGGAGACAAGGAGAAATTTTTTGTGTGGCTTATTATAATTTTCCAATTCTGAACCAAACCAATCAGCGAAAACAAATTAATACTCTAATTTTTCGTTACAGAATTCACTATATGCACATACTTTATGAAATTTATATATTATTTTTTTATTATACAATCTACATTAATAGGCAAATGAAGAAATTTGGGGTAGGTACTATTGTTTTCAAATAAAATTGTAATAACAAAATATTTTATCTTTGATTCTAAACAAGCGATTTGAGTTTGATTTATATCAGTGTGGTATTTTCATCAGTTCATTACGTTAGACAAAACCGTCAAATCAATTGATATCGGCATAAAATATAGAAACAACATTTGTCTAAAAACAGAACAAATATTATGTTATTAATATTCGTACTTTAATTTCATTGTCTAAACCGCCACTTATGACTTGATCGGCAGTGTCGTTGAAACAAACGGACATCACTTGATAGTTGTTGTTGAACGTCGTCACTGCGTCTCCGCCTCTTTTTCGCGGATCCCATACTTTTATAGTGCAATCGTCCGAAGCGCTAGTGATCATTTGAGGACCTCGTCTGGCCGAATCACAAGAGTTTACGAATGCAGTGTGTCCTTTGAACAAAATCAAAACCATAATGACACACACGGTGCATCAGTAAAGTTGACTTGCTCCTAAAATAAAATAACTTAGAAGACATATTATACCTTTGAGTTTTTTGACTCTTTGACCTTTGTAAATGTCCCAAAACGACACGGTCGTATCAGTGCTACTCGTGTATATTAATGTTCCGTCAGTTGAAAATTTCATGTCTAAAACTGCACCGGTGTGTCCGGTGAGGACGCCTATGTTTTGACATTCGCCGTACACGCTCCAAATAACTGTAATAGTTTGAATGTATTGTTAAAAATTTGCATTGAAGCTAAAAACAACAGTACAAATATTTTAATAGTTTGCGGCGTACATATTTTTCTATCGAAACCAGTCGACGCCAAGTACTCTCCTTCTGGATGGAATTTCACAGCAAAAATTTCTCCTTCATGCCCTTCTAATGCCATGATCGGCATAAGTAAATTTGATGTACGAGCATTAGGCTAAAATTTAAATGGATAATTAAACAAAATACATTAAATATTTATTATTGGCTAATTAAAAAAATTCCTGAATCAAAAAAGAAACACACATATCTTGTTGGATTTTCAATGAATGAAGATAAAGTTACATAAACGTTAAAATAACACTGAATAATTATAATTGGAAACTAAAACTCAATCAAAGTATGCAAAATGAAAAAAAGAATATTAATTATGTTTTACGCTTTAGTAATAACGTCATATTCATACAAAAGTCAGTGTGAAATATGCCTTTTAAATATAGGTGTAAATTCATGTTGGCTTGATAGGTGGGTCGATCGAGTTAACTAAACATTTATATACTTTATAACGGTAAACAAGACAAAAATGATATAAAAAACGTATCGTAAACGATATAACTATAAAAAAAAGGCCGTTTTTCAAGTCTTGTATTAGTTAATAATATTATTAATCAACAAACTTACATTGTCACTTTTCAAATATTTTTCTCTGATGGCTTTATTTGGCTCAGAGTCGACCAAAGCGACTTCACTTTTGCGCTTCACCATTTTCAAGTAGGTAGTACAAAATTACCCAAAAAAATAAACAAACGAACAGATTTTAATTTGCGTTCAGACTTTTAATCAGAAATGAGTTTCTATATTATAATATTCTTTATATTTGTTCGTTATCGGCGCAATTTTCTTAATATGAAAATGTAAATAAAATCATAATAATAAAAACACGGTGATATTTGAGGTTATATTTACTTATAAGAACTTAGCAACGAAATCGATTTTCTTACTTACACCGAAATCAAGTAAAAAGGTATGCCGGCACATCGTGTTATCGTTTTTTTTTTACAAAATGGCTGCCGTCAGAGTTACACGGCCGACCGAGATCAGCGGCCGCCATTTTTTGTTATCACCATTTGATAGCGTACGACGTTATCCGGGCAAGCCTTGTGCAACGTTACCGGCTACCAACTTCAAGCTTTAAATGTAACATGCATAATAATAATATTATAAATTACAATATTTCATTATTATACCTATTATTTTTCAACTTCAACTTAATTACTACCTGATTTATTTTTGCTTTCAAGTACACAATATCAATAGTAATTGTTATAAGAGATTGCAAATTAGGCATTTATGTTGAAAAATACAATTTACGCGTACGCAAAAGAAATCCGACGTGATCCAGCTCAAAGTTTTACCGTTAATTACAATAATGTGAAAATCTATTGCTCTTTAATTTAATATTATGTTGTTTTTTAAAATAATTTTTTCCCTCACCGGTTTACTCGCCACTCTTTACCTTGGTCATGGCCTGCCCATTGACGAGGGTTCAGTTAGTAAACTGATGACGAGTAGTCCGGTCGATGACTTGGGACTCGTGAAATATTTCAAACAACTCGATCTTTACGATACTTGTGATATAAAAATACTGGATGTCAACAAAACCAAACATTTTGAAATAAACAATCCGGAGCTATGCATGTGCACCATCATCTACAACATGACAAAGGAACTGAGCAACAGCAACGTCAGCGTGTCCGACGTGGAACTGGCAAAAACTCAAACAGCGAACTTCGACGCGATGGCGTTGTACGATATTTGGACAAAAGCAACTGTATCGTCACCGTCGTTGACGTTATTTATGGAACCTTTGAATAGTTTCAAAAGATGGCACGCAATTTGTTACAATGTAGAAGACGAGATAAAGCCGTTGTGCAAAATGTTGAATGTAGAAGTTTTGTCCATGAAAAATGTTTTACCCAAATCGAATCAACGTGAGTATTGGATAACAAATTTTTGCTGCGTTTTGTTACACGATAAAGTGATGGTATCTTTGTATATTTTCAGCGATAAAACCACCAAAAGATGATAAACTGTTAGCAAAAGTAGAGGAGCCGAAAAAACCCGATCTACCCCTTACCGTACCCAAAATTCCCAACAATGTTGTTGAAAAATCTAAAGACACCCAGGACCTGACTTTAGTCCACGAGGAACAAGAAGTAAGTAATGAAAAATAAAGTGTTTGTCGTGCTCAGTGTGTTCTTATAATAATTTTCTTTCACCAGGAAGAGGCTAATGCTGAAAAACTAGTGGAGAAAAATCCGAACGAGGACCAAATTCCCAAAAGTTCGGATGATAAAGAAGATGAAATGGAACAACCCCCAATCACTGACGAGAATATACCCATTGAAGAGGAGCCCGTTCAACCGAAATCTCTGGAAGTAAAAAACACACAACCCTCTGCGGGTATGTACATACCGTTTTAAATTATTGTATATTATGGTCGAAAAAGTAGTCCCGTGACGACCCGTGTACATAGAACTTAATTTAATTAAAACAAAATAAATATGATAATCTGATAGTGTTAAACTTGTAAGTTTCAAAAAACACATTTCTAATTGCCGGTTTTAGTTGTAAGTTTAAAAATTTGATAATCCAATTAATCATTTAATAATATAAGCCATTATACTCGTAAAAGACTTGTGTTGGTATTTATCTCGATAGTTTGGTTTTTTTTTTTTTTTTTCTAATGGATAATTAATATATAATTTGTATTTTAAATATCTTAGGTGACTACGACGACGATAACAATGCTGAATATTCAACTTACAAAGGTAATTTGTATCTCAGTCGGTCTTTTAAATTTAATAAATAAAAGTTAACATATTATATATTAACAGCTTAATATTAAATTTAGACAAATATGTTTTTTTGAAAAACTAAAATATTCATGCTAAAAATATGTACAATAAAATTATGTTTCGATGCATGCGTATCTTATATCGTTCTAGTTAATTAAAATTTGGATATTGTAATAATTAAACAAAAAAACAACATACATTAACAATACATTTTTTTTTTAAAGCGTGACAAAACGGGTTTTTTTTTATTTATAAACGACAATGACAAATAATCAGCATAAGTATAAGGGGATATTTACTTCAAATGTTTTTTGCTTTGTCTGTAAAATTGCTATTTTCGACTTGAGTACACATTCAACGAGAGTTCCTAAACTATTAACATTTTGAGATGTAACATCTAAACTGTATTGAGAATTCAAGTAGAAGTTATAACTTTTTTTTTTTATAGAAAACAAGTCAAATCCACAGAACACGTTTCCGGCGTTTCCTAAGAAAAAGTTTATGACCAACGAATTCAGCGACTCGGAAGACACTCATTTCCTATTTTACTTTGTCGTCATGACGGTGATTTCATTGGGTTTTTATTTGGCCTTGTATAACAAGAAAAAAGTACGTAACCCTTAATTTTAAAATCACTTAGAATATTTGTAAAAAAAAAAAAAAATACCGTACTTGTAATTAAATCATATATTTTTTTCCCCCCAGATAATTGCACTCGTAATTGAAGGTCGTCGCAGCAACAGTCACAGGAGACGTCCGAATGTGGCCGGCTATTCAAAAGTAGAGACTGATGACGGATCGACTGTATTTTGATTATATGTATATGTATAAAAATCTAATTTAGTGAGTGCCATTTGAAGAATGAAATTGAAGTTAGTGTTAGCTTAATATATATATTTCTTGGCCTGCGCTCTCATTAATTAATTAAATACAATGTATTGTAAAAGTGAATTGAAAAAAAATAACTTAGTGAAATTCTGTGATGAAAAATACTTATATGAAAGTTGTACGATTAAGTTTTTTTTTAATGTATTATCTGTTCTTTTTATTAGAGTTTTTTTTTCTCTTACTTTTTGTTTTTGTTAAAAAATTAGTAACGAGAATAACATAGGGACGTGTGCTTCTGAAAAAGTTAAGTTCATAATTTAAGGTTTTATTGAATTCAGGGTCTAGCAAACGGGAATTCCGAAAGAAGTAAAGTGTAGGCGATATTTGACAAAAAAAAAACTAGATGTGATCACGTGAACTTATATTTTTATGGAATTTTATGCAATAATATTTCACGTTTAAGTTTTTATCATATTCTTAGTAATTTTCGTTAAAAAAAAGTAACGTCATTAAAAAACAACGATTTTGCAAAGTTAAATGATCAAATTTCTATTTTTTTCAAACATTTCTTTTCGCTTTTTCAAAAACTAAACCGATATTAATGACCAGAATTTAATCATTACCTGCCCGTTAGGTCCTTAATTTGTTGTACCAATGCACACCATATTAGTATATAAGTGTACTTTCGACGAGATGAAAATATATTTTTTAAATGTTTTACTTACAATAATTTATTAACGAATGATATAGTTTTTCTTTTTATACACAATAATTAATATAAATATAAAATAACATTTTGTATACTTGTCGACTTGAGTTTTAAATTTTAGTACACGTAGTATGTATATCGAAATAGTTTTTTTTACTTATATTATGTTACTATCAGCTCGTACAACGGCAACTGTCTTTTGTGTTTCTCGCAATCCATCCTAAGTAGTTGTCCACTCGGGTGTACACTCCGGGAAGTTTGGGCGCGCCACAGCCGATACCCCAAGATACGATACCTGCGCAAAGACAAATGGTAAAAAATATTGAGTTGTTTTCATAAACTATATTATGTATTAACGACAATCGATCAGTACCGGCCACGGTGATTTTATCTTCGGCATCGTAAACCATCAACGGTCCTCCGCTATCGCCCTAATCGAAACACGACGTACAGTATAAGTTAATCCGTTCGAATGGAATAGAACTATGTTTTTAATTAATACCTAACTATGTTTTTTTCAGTACCTGACAAGAATCTTTTCCTCCGACTTTGAAACCAGCACATATCATGTTGGACGTATATCCTGGCTTTACGTATTCCGGAATGGTAGCGCATTCCCTGTTGCTCCATATCGGTATGGTCGTATGTCTTAGACTGAGAGACGTACCGCTGAGCTCGCTCAACTGTCCCCATCCGGCCACCATGCCGGTCTGGCCGCTGTAATCGTTTTCTAAACAAAAATTTGTACGATACACTATTTTCAACTGGACCGTTGTTTTTGACGTACTTGTCGTCGGCAAGCAAATCGATTGTAACGTGCGGTTGAACTTGATCGGTTTGGTGAGTTTGATCAACGCTATATCGTTGTCGTGGCCGCTCGCGCCGGTCGGACTGTAACCCGGATGCAGTTTGACCACGGACGCTTTGATCGTATGCGACAGACCCGGAACCAATCGACCGGGCCGTCTCGTCTGTCCCATCATAACGAATATTTCCCGGAAGCTGGTCGCGGGTTCTTCGCTTTAAATGCAAACAAGTGTCATCGGACCGAACACTATCGGCGGTACGTACCCCAAGCGATATACTTACCTAAAGCAGTGTGCCGCCGTCATGACATATTGGTCCGTAATGACCGAACCGCCACAGAAGAATTTTCTCTTAGCGTTCCACAACGACACCATCCAGGGGTACTGGTTGTCACTGGCATCGCTTCCTCCGACGATACGCATACCCGGATAGCCGACACCGCACGCTGTAAATATAAATTGCACACACAAAAAATTTGATTTTTTAATCATTTCAAAAATCAGTGGTTTTTTTTTTTAAATGTAAAAATTGACAATTTAGACTCTTGTCCAAACCCTTAGTACATTTTTACATTATAGCTTCGATACGGAGCTGAGAAGGTATTGTTTTTACAATGATGTGTTTTTATTTATTTATTTTTTATTTTTGTATCTGTACCCACGATATCTCGTAAACCGCCGAACCGATTTCTTCGTGTAACAACTCTATAGATCAGAAATCATACCTGGAACGTACTATATCGGGCAAAAAATTAAAAAAGTCACCCCTTCCCCATCAAAATCGAGAAAAACACCGAAAAAATGTACAAATTTTTCAACTTAAAATTACGATGCTCCATAACTTTTTTTAAAAACAGTCGAAAATGTTCAAAATTTATATGAATCAAACATAGAGTACTATCGATAAACATTAACAAACCAAAAAAATATCATAAACCCGTTTCCCTTAGAAGGGATAGAATTATTTTTTTCTTTATTTCACTTTTTCAAGCAAAGTTTTAAAGATTTAGATCTGAAAATTAGACCAAAGGTAGATCCTTTAAATGGAACTATAACATATACAATTTTCTCAAAAATCTATAGTCAAATTTTTAGTTTTTTATTAAGGAAAAACCCCAAAAATAGGGTAAATTTACACTTTGGCCGTAGTCAGTTTCTAGGTTGCTATGTGTGTGTGTGTGAATCAACAGTCAACAGGTAATGAAAATATTTTCATTATATTTTTTTAATTACGATACATGGGTAACTATGACAGTACATTTTTATAGACAGACGATCGACCTTTATCGTATCCACCCTGCACAAGACTAAATATTAAATTTTAAGTACATTATTGCTGGTCCCACAATATCTCCTAAACCGCTATTACTGGTTTGAACATACTATCCATTACTATCCACTATCTTAATACATTTTTGTTTATTATCTCAGATAAGAAGCTGAGAAAGTTAATTTTTTTTTTTAAACGATTTTACACTGTAATGAAAGTCTAAAACTATGTGTTAAACTAAAAAAATTCTATTTTAAAGTATTTTTGTATAGATTTGAGAATTCTCAAAAGCTATATGTGTTGTACTCACAGCACGGCTTGCACCTGTGTGTCCTCGTGTCCGTGGACGACCATTGTCCGTCACCGTCGCCTCTGGTGTAGCCCTGGGCAAGTATATATGATTTATAAACAATTTTATTTCAACACCACACATTGGTAAATTGTAACATATAATTTGTACACACTTGTCTGGTGACGTTTTTATGGGCCAAAACGTCGGTCGTTGCACACCACGACAGCAGTGTCAGTGTGAAGATGTCGGTGGTCGACCACATTGCAAAAGACACCTGCACTGCAAACTGTTGGCGAGGGCAACAGTTATTAATAAGGGAAGGGAACCGCCGATAGCTGCGCCATCCTAATGAGTTGTGCAGGCCAATTAATAACCCATCATGCATACAGCAGTAGGCGAAAACGTTTAAAATTTGGACAGAAAAAAACAAATTGTCGTTTAATTTGGCGCGACACATTCTCGATTAATATGCAAACCTTTTCATAAAGTAGGACATCTTGTCCAAGACGACCATGACATCCCATCGCAATTGGTTATTTTTAAAATACCTTACATAATAGCGGTACTTATTATTATTTGTTTGCTTTAACTTAATATAATTGTTCAGTACCCGTGGTGGTAATTGGTGCATCTAGAACAACGAGTACATATTAAATAAATTAACAATAGTTATGACAACAGTAAAAATCGTTTTTGGTAATTAATCACAATAAGTATAGGTGGGGCAGTGTCTCTTAGTTGTGCCTGCATATTTTCTTCTTCTGATAGCTTTATTAATAGTAATAATTATTAGTAGGTATTATAACATCATCTCTATCAGCTGCGCAACGGTGGTGACGCATAAAGTTTGTCGCTGGTCTTCTTCAGAAATTAAATAAAGATAAATCGTTTTAAAGAGATCATCATCATTACCTACTTTGACAAACTATGGCTTTTTTTTTGAAACTATGTCATCGCTAAATTAACCTTGGACTTATTAACACCATTGCACGCAACAAGACTTGTTAACTGGCAAACTATTAACAAGATGGTGTACTTGTAGGTGTAAAACTAGCTATTTCTCCTAATTGTTGTTGTAGTTTTTGTAAAGTTTTTTCAAGTTGAATTTATTTAAATAAATTTATATAATTTTTTTATTAATAAAAAAAATAAACGTGTATTTTATTGCATTTTTCAAGTCGATAAAATAATCTACTGTTTATATTTTACATAATAAACCCACGTTGAATTGACCACCACAATTGACAATTTGCTTACAAATTATTGTACTTGGAATCGCGTTTTTAGATTTTGTTTTTCCGTAATGATCAAAATTTGACTGGAGATTTTTGGAAAACAAATATGTTATTTATTATTGATCCGTCTTCAACTGTATTATAATATATTCATACCAAAAGCAAAATAACGAAAAGGTTTCCACCCTTTCTAGTGGCAGTGCATTTAAGTTGTACTATAATATTTAAATCATATCCCACACACGTGTGTACATTTTTGGGGTGGTTTTGTCGATTTTGAAGAGGGAAAGGCTAAATTTTTATTGTACCTCAGTTCCACGTCGATGATGCCAATAAATAACACTAACACACTACCTACAAAAGAGTGCAAAACGATTATAAAGAATATTTTTAATTAATTTTTAATAAAAACGCTTATTTAAATCAATTTTTTCATCGTCTCCTTCGTCGCAAAGCCTCACAGATCTGACTGAAATTGCTGTTGTTCGTGTCTTGCAATGAAGTATTGGACAATTCGTTTACTCCACGCGAGTCGTCCAGATCGGCAGAACAGAAACTGTTGACGGGCATTTGCACACTTCTAATGTCCACGTCTTCGTCGTCGTCCAGATCGGCAGAACAGAAACTGTTGATGGGCATTTGCACGCTTCTAATGTCCGCGTGTTCGTCGTCCTGCGGTTCGTCAGAGCAGAAACTGTTGACGGGCATTTGCACACCTCTAATGTCTTCGTCTCCGAACGACACTCGTGGCGCGGTTCTATCAGCAATGGCACCACGGCCACGACACGGTCGACGGGCGACGAGATCGCACTCTCTGATCCTCGGCCACACTCTTGCGTTGAGACTTTCGTTTCTGTAAGTCCGGTGGTCCGTTATGACGCCGGCACTGGGATCCACTCCGTGGTCGTCGTACGTGTCGCCGAACAACGACTGGCGTCGCGGCAACGAGTAGTCGAGTCTTTCGTCGGTGACATGGCCAGTATCGTTGATCCACCGCCGATTCCTGTTCCTGTTGAACGAAGAGTACCCGCTAGCGTCTGGATCCCACCGGGAATCGTTCAAGGTGTCGTTGTGCAACGCCCGCGAAATGGTCTCGTCCCTGTACAATCGATAGTCATTTTGTGGTCTCATCGAAGGCTGCTCGGCAGTGGCGTTGGTCGCGTCCAGAATCCGATCCAACCGCGCCGAACGCGGATTGGTCTGGCAGCTTTGACGTCCGTCCAGCCACGCTTCTACCATACTGCGCGTGCCGTTGGATCTAAAGCGATTGTTCGTGCGATCCAGAGAGGGATCGTCGTCGTCGGCGTCGTTTGGCAGATCGACCAAAGACGATCTGCGACTTAACGGCCTACAACCGGATTGTTGTTGCCGTTCGGACGTGACAAACGTGGAAGCGTTGACGTGTCGGTTTGTTCGGTCCCGGAATGCCGAGTAATGGCTGACGTCCGGATCCCAGTTGTCATCGTACACGGGCCGATACAGAGAATGATCCATGCCGGGGGGAGACATAGAACATCGATTGCTGTTACCGTTTGATGACACGTTGTTGGGCACCGAATGGCTCCTGCGTCTCGTGTACGAATGCTTGGGCGAATGGCTCGGTCTACAGCTACAGTCGCTCTTCGGGTTGACCGATTCGTCCAATGCGCTCCACCCACAAGCCTCGTCGTACCGCGAATCGGTAGTCACATTGATTGCGTGTCTCCCTCGGCTGTTTTGTCGTCTTTGACTCTGAGACGTTTCGCGAGTTGGCCGCAACGGCGTTTGCGGTGACCTGCCCCGCCGGTTCGTCGTCAAATCCGCACTGGACACCGTCCAATCATAGTTGGTACAATCGTTTGCCTGGCCGCTTCTGTTGGATGATACACGCGAGTTATTGTTGCGACAATCGTTTGCACGGTTAGAACCGTTTGCAGCACCACTGCAGTTTGACTGCACATTCTGCTGTTGGGCGTTGCATTGACTTGGTATTGGCCTTTGCGGTGATCTGCCCCGCCGATTCGTCGTCGAATCCGCACTGGACATTGTCCAATCGTAATTCGAACTGTCGTTTAACGACGCCTGGCCATTTGTCGTCGTGTTGGCCACACAAGAACTGTTGTTGTTGTTGTTGCCGCCAGACGGGCTTTGTTCACTGCAGTTTTCCATAACTGTACTCAAAGCACTAACCGTTTGACCGCCGCGTTCGTTGTTGCAGCAGAGAGACGACGTACTCGGACGATCGTGAACGGTCTTGTTTCGCCTTTTGCAAGACGAGCTCCTCCTCTTTGGCGTTTGCTCAGGCCTATTGTCGTTACAAGTCGTTTTCGATAGTCTATCGCAGTTATTGTTGTTTTTACTTGCGGCACACGACGTGGACGGCTGTTGTCTCTCGCAGGCGTCGGGCGGCCTTTGTGCAGTTTCAGGCAAACCGCAATTTTCTGGCTCGTGTCTCGTTTGGTCACAATCGGCTGCTGTTTCTCCCGTGGTGTTCAATACTAATTGGGCGTTGGCAACTATTATGGTCGAGTACGCTTTCGGGTTGAGCATTTTGTAACCGGGAAACGATTTGTTTTGCACAATGTTCTTGGCCGTTTCGTCGATGCTTCTCTGCGTGCTCGGTTGATTTCCAATGTCTCTACACACAACGAATTAGTTAGTAGTAATTAGTTTGAGGCAAACACAATGCCAATGCGAGTTATCGGCTCTTTCTTACTGGTCGACGTCGATATGACTTGCTATTAATTTCGGCCTGTTGTTGGTCAACACGCTGTGTTCGTTCCACCGGAACGCAGCGATTTCCTTTGACACCTGCTCCATGTTCATAATACTCTCGCAACTATAGAAACATTGAGATTACAATGATATTAAGACATTACCTACTCAAGAGTGTGTGTGTGAGAGATGTGGATGATGCACAATTACCCGTCTTTAAGAGTGACCGGATTGCATTTGTTCTGTCTGGAAAATTCGCGTTTAATTATCTTTAATAATTGTAAGTGATTTGCAGCTGTATTTTCTCTCTCTCTTAAACTTACTGACATTCCAAGTCCAAACGTCTCAGAGACTTTTCCCACTGATTGGAATCCAGTATGGTAGGTAGAATAATTTTCTGCGGGTTATTCCACGTGTGAATCAGTGTATCAGACCTGACGAAAAACGATTGCACTAGGCTTTTGGTTGTTTTAACAACCACGTACGAACACAAATCCGAAGACACAGCTACCCGACGGTCCGATTTGGTTTCTTGTAGCACGTCTCTGTCCTTTTCAATGGCATCGGTTTGGGTTTGAAGGTCTCTCAGAAGTTGTATCTGAACAGCGGAAAATTGCAATGATAATTACATAAATTTATAAGTAACATTTATAGTTAAATGTTTACTGTATCCTCTTCGGTTTTAATTTCTAAACCCGCCAAATCTGCTGGAGGAAAGTTAGAAAATATACTAAACGAATGGATGTTATGCAATGACACGAGCATTAGTTGAATGACTTTAGTTTTAAACGGCGCCGGTTCTTTGTCCAATCGAAATAGCCAGGCAGCGTACACCAGTCTATCTATAAAAATGTTTAACAAATAGTCACATCATTAAGACTACTCTCCTCGTATCGGTTAATTTATTTTCCAATTTTAGATTCTATTCATAGTGCACTCACCTCGTTCATTTTTCAACTTTATAATGCACGGTTGAGTTAAATTTCGGTAAAACTGATAGAGATCTTCTGAGTTATCATCATTTTTTTTACCATCTGTTTGTGATTTCTTTCTCTTAATTTTTCTCCTAGGGTGCTCCAGCCGATTGTCCATCTGTGGCTACTCGTAAAATCTATATCACGAAGACAATTTTAAGTCTATATTCATCAAGTAATTAATTTAAAAGTATATAACGCTATGGAAAATTTTGTTTTAATTGTTTGTTTTATTTTTTAGTTTATGTGTATACGTTTCCCCGAGTTACTCGATTTATCTTTTCTCTATCAAATATCTTCTTCAACGGTATATGACTGCCATTAGAGCTCGTATGCTTAACATTTCTAGTCTACTTGTGTGTCGTATAACAGTCATTACATTTATGTTGTATGCTGTGCACTATAAAAAATAAAATTATTTCACACTTTACAATTTACATACAGAATCCTTTTTGATGAGACATTTTTTAAGTAGGCATTCCTCCACCATGATAGTATGAACAATAGTTTAATAACCTAATAAGAAATCCGAAGGTTTTATAGCGCTTTGGCGCCTGTATTATTAATATGATCAGAAAAGTGGACATTGAGTGGTGTAATGTTGCTAAAAGGCAATAATATATTTTAATTAAACATGCTAACAACTAATAGTGTATTACAAATTGTATAAACGCGACAGTGCAGCGTTTACCATGCGGATATAAATCTCAAAAAATAAATTGTCTTTATAGGTGACCTATACTCGCATTGTGACAATCGTACACAACGCCTTTCACGGTCATCTATTACCTATTACATATTATCATAGACTACATTGAGTTCATATCACGATAGAAAAGTAAGTACTACCTTCTAACATGTGTGAATCACAGTGGAATTCATCAATTCCGACAAGTACCTATAATATGTACCTATAAAACAAACATACAAGTCACAACTGCACTTAAAAGTGTCAACATTTTGAGTATATTTATTCACTTAATATCCACAACGAGGAAATCCTATATAAATCTCGCTATTAGAAAATCAAGGTGAGGAGTATTAAAAAGTCAAATGATTTTGTTACTTGTATGCCTGACCGAAGACTAAATTATGTTGCCTATACTAACTGACAGCTTTTGTCCTTCTGGTGGAGTTTCTAAGGTCTCGCAATGACAGACGGCCCTTCTTGTTGATAGGCCTATATTATGTGCCTTCGAAAAATACTTGATCGACACAATATAATTTTGATCATGATTATAAATCATGACTACAGATTTATTTGATAATTTTTGTCCATCAGCTTATATGTAGGTATTTGTGTAAAGAAAGAGAGAGAGAGAGAGCGAAAACCAGTTTTGTCTAACCAATATCTATTAATAAGAAAATACTTAATATATAAATACCTATTACTCGTAGGTAATATTAAATCATAAAGTCGAGAAAAATAAGTTGTAGATACTGTTTAGGTCCACTATAATATATTATGTCTACTAAGAGAATTATTATTAGAATATGCTATTAAAGTTCAATCCAATTGATTTGACCGCAATTAAAATCAACACCATCGGGGCAAGGCCGGAATAAACACGATTAGGAATACTAATTTCTAATTAATTAAAAATATATATATAGGATAACCCAAAGTTGACCAAAGTCGTTAGAAGACCACCATTTTAAGAAAAATTTCCAAAGACTCTGAGGTCTCTGCAGCATGAAAAAAACATTCGGTATTAAATTCACTTTAATATAAAATTTTCCCTTCGCTATTTTTGCTATGCCAAAACGCAATAATTGTGAAACCGATAGCTAACGATAAGTGCAACAGTTATATATAAATATAATTTCCTATATATATATATATATATATATATATACGTTAATGGATAACTTATTCGTTAATGAACGACAATTTAATTAATGATTTTTTTTTCTTAAATACACATTGACTTAATGGGTTTAACTCACTACTTAACGGACATTTCCGAAACCGTTATAAAATACATCACTAATCGACTGTCATTACATAATATACAAAATCGTCTTGGACAGCGATGGATAATAAATAACGTATAAATTTATAATATAAATAAATCTATATTGTTTTGTAATTTGTTAACCACAGGGCCAGAGACTATAACGGCTATTTTAGTATTATATTTAGTTTTTTTTTAATGTACTTTGAAGTTTTTTTTATGGCTATCCGAATTTTACCAAAACACAATCATTGTTGTTGTATAATGTTTGAACTTAACACAATAAACATAATAATATACACTCTTACAACCGTTGACCTTATCTGGAATTTTCTTTTGTACATCAAGCTATACACTAACCTACGCGTTACATATTATAATCGATTTGTTGTTAGCTCGAAGGCCGATGGGAAGCCAAATATCTAATTAGATTAAAATATATTATACTAAACGATGAACACGCGAAATCCAATTTATTATCGTAGCCTACAGTGTATGTCTACAGTTGCAAATCCCCAAAAATTGCATGCATTCCTGTGTTTGCTTCCACCCAAGTCTGTCATAATATTATAGCGGCGTTTAAATAATATTTTATTATTATGTAATCGCCGTGCGTTAAAAAAATATATATAAAAAAAAAATGGTAGTATATATTATTATATTTTTGTTTTCATTTTCAAAAAACAAATTATTTTTTAATTACCTACCTTTTTTTTTCTGGGTAGAAGGTTTCTTTAAATTATTGCTTACAGATTTGGCGGTGGCCGTTGTTGTTGTGGTCGTTGGTCGTACAAGACACGCTTGCCATACCAATATGTCCGAATCAACAAAATTCCAAAGAACACGTTGTGCTTGGTGCGCTCTTGCCGTTGCACACGGGCGAGGATTGCTCGGCGACCCAAATGAAAGGCATACAACAGTTGGCAGCACTGGAGTACGGACTTAACGCGGCAAATTCGGACCTGAACGGAGACGTGAAAATAAGTAAGAATTAGATTTTACTGAAAAAAAGGCCTAATAAGTGAATTTTATTTTATAAAACAAAGTACAACTGTGATAACTACTTTGAAGCGTTGCCGTATTCTCAAAGTTAATTTTTGTTTTCTATAAGACACTTTTTTTTTTGTTCTTTTTTTTAAGCATGTTAATATAATATTGTGCATAATATTGAACGAGAAAATGTTACATTTCATACACAGAACGAATGTTTTTTCTTTCATTAAATAAATATAAACTTTATATTTTAAAAATTTTGATTAGAATAAAGGCCTATTTTCACATTTTTTTTGAAAAAATTCCTTGGGCTAAATTAAAACTAAAAATGAATATTTTATAAAATTAAATCGACCCATTAAATGGTAATAATTTATGAAAAGTATTAAGTTTTGGTTTAAAAAAAAATATACCTAGAAAAATAGTGTTTTGTGTCTCCTGAAAAAACCCAAAATTTGAAATCGGACCCTTGTTCTAATAAGCGTCTCAACTAGCGAGTCCCTTATATTTTCCTTATTTTTTGCTTAACTCAAAACTGCTCACGGAATTAGTGTAGTGTACTTAGTTTTTTTAATGGGTCTCTACACTTGTATTTGTTAAGGCACATTGTATAGGCAATTTTTCAACAAAACAACATTAGGCTAAAATTCCAAATTTGTTAACTCATATTATACACAGCAAAGATGTATCTGCACATGGCTCTATTTTTTAACAAGTGATTTAAAACATACTGGCAGCATTTTGAGACCGTGTATTTTGTTCCAAATAAGTGGTTAGATTTTTAATTTGAATATTATTATGTAGATATAAACAGTATGCACTCGACTAATTACATTTGGCTAATTACAATTACTTATCGGTTCTGTTCCAGGTTTACAGGTTTTAGACACATGTTCTAACGCCAATAGAGCTGTAAAAGTCACAATGAAAGGACTCGTCTCGGCCGAACAAACGTGTCTTAAATCTCCGTTGTTTTTAGGTATTCAACAAAAGGCAATTGAACACTTTTTTTTTCCATTAATTTTTTTATGTCCTTGTATTCTCAGGGTACGTTGGACCGGACGATCAGGAGATTTTGTCCAACGTGCAGAAAATCACATCTCTGTTGAACAAAACCCACGTGTTACCGTACAAAATAGACTTGAAAGACAGGACGTCTAACGTGTTTTTCTTGGGGACAGACCAAACGTCGAAGAGAGCCAATGTCAGTACCTACACCAATAACAAAATATGTTTTTCCTCCCCACATCAGCTGTAAGACGGTATTTACAAAAAAAATGGTATTTCAATTATTGTATTTTTCGCCAGGCTATAAACACGATGTTGCGAAATCTCGGTTGGGAGACTTACGTGCCGGTGGTGGAGAACTCGGCCAAAGTCACAAACGTCTTGGCCGCGCTGTTCAACTTGTCCAACGGTCGGATAATATGTCCGGTCGAAAAAACCATATTGTTGCCAAGCACTCAAAACGGATACGCTTCCGTTTACAGAGAAACAATAGAAAGTATATCTTACACTGTGTTTGTATACAAAGGTTCTGCCTGAACAAAAAAAATTAATATTGTACACTTATACTTAATTCGCATACTTTTTTTTAGAACTACAAAGAATATAATATTTAAGTCGAACAGTTGACGCGGTTTTGTTCCCATCCGGTTAATTTCTACCGTAGTTAGCCGTCTTTGCCATAATCACCCTGAAATTAGTTGAAGCCGCCGCCATATGCAATGTAGGCACTATCGGTAAACAAACGTTATTAATATTAGGCTTTATCGTATTGTATAAATAACCTTTAGCCTTTATCATTTTTATATCATTGATAGTGTGTTTGATAACGTTTGTGTACCGATTGTGCCTACATTGCATATGGCGTCGGCTTCGCCGGTAATTCGAAGACGGCTATCTAGTATTAGTATAATAGGATTTCTACCGACTATTATGCTCTCTTGAAATGTAATATTTGAAATTTCAAATTCGTGTACCGTTTTCAAAGGTCAAATACGATCATCTGCCGATGGCGTGCTTGTGATTGTCGATACACCGGAAGTACTTGGACCTCTGTTCAACATTCTATCTAACAGCGACAACACTCAACGGCCTCCGTTCGTTGTCTACGTCATGACCGTCGGAATTAAACTGTGGGAAATCCCCAGATCGGACGCGGTCAGCATGATCCTTATGCAGGAGTCCACGTGAGTTATCGTGTCGATTAAATATCACAAGTATTAAGTACCGGTTTTAATTTCAAGACTCTGCTCCCAGTTTTCTGGAGTGTGCTCTTCCAAATCCGTTAGGCATCACCCCTTCGAGGGGGTCATAGGCCGTCTTATCTTGTACAATGGGTTTTCACCGTGGTATTGTTATTCTAGCGAATCAAAATTCAACAACGAAATCAAACAGTATTTCAACGAATCTCTTCTGGTCACCTACCGGCAACAGAACCGCAAAGGCCTCGCGCATAACTGCAGCGCCACCGAGTCCGGTGCTTTGTGTTTGGTACGTTTCATATTATACAGCATGTGTTTTTTTAAACAGGGTTGACATAAAAAAAACCCAGCCCAAATAAGCTTAAAGTAAAACAAGAAACAATGTTATGCCAACTGTGATTTGAAAGTGTTTTGTTTTTTTATATTTTTTTTTTTTTGGAGTGTGTTTCAGGATGCGTTGGAGGACGAATTGGACTCGTCGGTGATGCCCATAACGTATTCGGTACATTTGTTTGGGTACGCGCTGAGAACGGCCATTGATAAAAAATGCAAAAACGAACTGCATTCGTTGGGCGTTTGCCGAAGCCTGCAATCGATGCAGTCCGTCGAGTGGGTGTCAATCATGAAAACGGCTACGACCATCCTGAACGGAGTGGACGGTCCAAAGAGGATAAGATTTCAAATGGAAACCGGCCATCACGTGAGCGTTTACATGGCTGACGTTATCACAAAGCAAGTCGATTTGGTACGATAGTGTTTCTTTTGTAATAATATTATCTTTACTATCCTACTCATCGGTATTGTTCGTGTTGCTCAGGTGGCTAAACTGACCAACGGCGACCGGTTGAATTTTATTAAAAACGTATTCCTGCCGGCGTCCACGAGGATGACCACGGGGGGCTTGACCGATCGCCCTTCCCCGTGTCAGTCGTACCAACCGAAATCGCCAAAACCCACTACAGTGGTGCCGACCCCGGACGACGAGGATGTCGTGACGGTGGCCCGCGAACAAGACGATTGGTCGCCCATATGGAAATTTCTGCCCAACGGCGACAAGCAACCCAAGGAAAAAGACACTTACCACGTGGTCACCGTTTTGCTATGCATAGGCCTCGGGTTCCTGTTGTTCATGATCATCACCATACGCATATTGTACAAAATGTTCACGTTCTCGCAGGGCAATGATCAGAGTTCGTCGAAGAAGAAGAAAAAATCCAATAACACCAGAGCCAGTAGAGGCAATTCCGTGTCAAGCAGGAGAGTGAGCAGGACCAGTTCGATTGCGAGCACCAGGTCTACTTAGGAAGATGTGTTCTGATATCAACAAGACCAGACAAAAAAGTGACTCTGATATGTGTGGAAAACAACCAGCACTTATATTAGCTTATCATTAACCATAAGTATGCTTAAATAATTATAATAATATGTTATACGACTTAATGTGCAAAATAATAACATATTATTACTATTATTACAACCGGATCAGCAGTGTTTATCTTTCATGTCCAAGACTAACACACAAAAAAAGAAACATTTTAAAACTCACCCTTGTTGGCGGTTGCCTCTTGATCACCTCACTCTAAAACACTTTTTCACTTGTTGCCTTCTTTAATTTTACATTTTTTCTAAAATCAACTAGGTGTTGTCTTAATGCTAAAGATTTTTCAAGAATTATCATCGAGTAAAAACGCGATCCAATAAAGATATAAAATAAAAACAGTAGCGGTATTTCCTGGAATCCTTGGACAGAAGTAGATTTTCCAAGTCGATATTGAACGCAAGTATACATTTGAAAATAAAACACAAGTAGGATATAGCCCGGGGGACTTTTAAAGACTATGTGGCCTCGGTGTATAAGAAAGTCGTGAGTTAAGTGGTGTATCTATGGTGCACACTACGTCGTAGTATTATTCGTGTGTCTATACTGACACAGGAAACACAGAAAAGTGATATAATAACTAAGAAAAAAAAAAGTCTTCTTGGCTTAAGTACGTAGTAATAAGGTTTTAATATCTATTGAATCAATTATAGGCGAGTAACGGATATATGAAAAAAACTAAACAATGTTATACGTAGTACACGGTCAGATGTTGTATATTGAAATTTTATAGTACCGCTGAATTTAAATTTGGTATAATTTCCTAGTCTGTTACAAGTTAAAAATACAAAACGGTAAGTATGTTATGGTAAAAACGACCTTCTCTTTATGTATATGTGTTTTCCGAAACATCAGAATAATGTGTAAAATACATTTTTCGATTTCATATCATATCACTAAGGAGAACATGTTGCTTAAATTAAACTTCTTGTAATTATACATTATTGATTATTATTAATAACATATAATAATATATTTTATCTCATACCAGAAATGTAAAATTTTCAAGGTTATTTATTTTGAAAGTTGCTTTGACAATAACAATATAATATATATAATTAAACGACCGGGGAAAAGCGGTAAGATTAAAATATGTGAAACATTTAACATGAGCCACCGCAGAGTTAGCAAAACTAGTTTACAACTCTTAGAAACAAAATTGCAAAAAAAAATAATATAATAAACAATAATCATCTTACATATTATAAGTTATAAAACTTACCTATTGTATTTACTGGTGTGAAATAGCATTTACATTAGCTTACAATCTTCACACTTTACTGTAATATAAAAAACCAACACAGTGGGGTTAGGTATAGTGGAAACGGATCATATTAAGGATAGAGACGTCATAGTTTAATAACGGATTAGTTTCAAAAAAAAATTACATAAATAAAAACATTATACCTACCAACTATAACGTTGTACGATTACTTAAGAATTATTACCTTTAGGCTTTAATTGAACTATTAGCTATACTATATTGTTAAATAATAATTATATGTAATAACAATGATTATAATCTTCACACTATCGTGTAACCAAATAATTGCAGTTTTATCATCAGCCATTAGCTGTGATTTGCGTTTTAACATTGAAAAGAAAGTAATACTATGTTCTAACAGATGTTGCATATTACTATTAAGAAACAGCTATAGAATAACACCAATAAACAGCTATTGTCCGTCATGTTTAGTTTAATAATTATTTTTATTGAAAATTTGACATATTCCGATGTGAAACATTAAATTGTGATTGTTGAGTAAACTTGTTTTCCAACTCGATTACTTATTCATTTAATATACTTGAAAATATGCATATAAGTTTGGCGATTAATATATGTTATTATTAACAATAACATTCATCATTATATTTGCCTTGCATGTTACATTTTTATGGTAATTTTTTTTATTGATTTAAATGTGACTCAAACATTGTTTTTCTCGTCAACATTGCATCATGCATGTGAGTTAGTTCTATTATGTTTATAGTAAATAATTGATTGTGTCTTATGCATTTTTCATATATAGCTATGTCGGGTTTGTCCTGACTTGAAACTGGTTAGGTAAGTTTTTGTAAATAAAAGGTGCTTGAGGGAAAACAGACGTGACGAATTCAAGTCAAGTTCCTTTAAAATTAGCTTAATAAATATTCATGGAGCTAGAAAAGAATGTAAGTCGAGACCTGAATATATAAGTTTTAATATATATTAGTTTAATGATATATTTTATACTTTGTCCAGTGCTCAAATAATGGACATAATATAACACAAGTAAAAGGGCTAAATTGAAATAAAATAGGTAGCGTTCTAATAATATTTACCTTATGATAATTATTACTATACTTTTAAAACAACTACAAGTCGAACTTCTGAAAAATTATAAAACAAATTGTGTTATTTTAACTGTTTTAGTATACATTATAATGTGTATGTACTACCTCTTTTATAAATAAATTTCAGAAAAAATGTTAAACAACCAACATTTTGGACAGGATGACAGCTTTCTTGTATGTATGACATATTTTTTGTTATTGAGTCTATTATCATTTGACATATTTTTGTTATAGAACAAATTTGGCCAAAAATAGATCCAAGTTTCGACACCGGTATTCATTGTAGAATAAATTGTTTTTTACTGATTTTTAAGAGCTAAATAATATCCGGTCAACCTACTGCACAAATCGACAAGTGATAAAAATACTATATTATTTCTTATTATGATTATTATAAAGTAAACCAGGATATTTAAGGTAGGTATAGTGTGTGTTTACACAATCACCTCCGCCGTTATAAAGTAATAATTCACAATGTCTGTCGAAAAGTAATTATCTCGAACAAGGGCAGCTTTATTTTTTAACGCCTTATAAATGTCACTACAGGAGGTGTCAAATGGACGAACTTCGAGCAATTTCTTTTAACGCAATAAGAAATATATTATACATATATATATATATATATACTCTCGATACCCTTGAACGAAAAATAATAATAACAGTAGGAACCCGGCACGTTAATTTATTATTGTGTAATTATTACAAGACAAACATCTCAAACTTTTTTCATTGTTTCTCTACTCCCCAAACCGTGTAAAGTCTGTTCCGGGATTATTTATACACAACATGCACTTTAAAAACAAAATATATCTGGACCTATGTAGTTTGTCAAAATCGATCCACGGTCACAGTCTGTGCCAGTCTTGGCTGTTTACCATGATAAAAACAACAGACCATAAAAATAGCACCTCTATAAAGTCTACATCGGATTGCACCTGTACAATAGCTATCGAAACCGTATAATACATAATAAATATGACAAGCCTTGGCATTCACTTTTATATTTATCGACTTTTTTTGTTTTGCTGTTAACAATCGTTTCCTGAATGGAACACTGGACAACACTAATTAAATAATAATCGTTATTCTTACAAAAAAAAAAATTATAGTCTTTAAGAATATTATTTTAGATAAACGGTAGTCAACTCAGGGCAGACTACCTAATGCGATAAATTAACACCCGCAGCGAAATTTGCAAGAAAACCGACAGTCTGATTATGCAAATTACTCGTTGTCGTTTCCATTTACTTCATTTCAAAGACAAACGCTTGAGTCGACTATCTTACCAGAAGAGTCCTTGTTTTTATGTTTTTAAATTATATGCGTTGAGAGATAGATGTACATACGATGAACACATTTTTCAATTTATCAGTTTTGGATAATTCTTTTCAAAGTTATTGAACTAGCAAATTATTCTTTACACAAAAAGTCAATAAAATAAAATATGAGTTACCGTTTAAAAAACTAAAGTTCATACGTTTTTGCCATAAAAGGGATGGGGTTATTATTTTTTTAAATTTATTCTATTTGCCCCAACTAGTAAATATAAAAGTATACAAAAAGAAAATTCGAAAAAGGCTTAATATATTTTAAGTTATTGACTGGGCCATAGTTAACCAATCACCCGGTATGTAAAGAAAAATATTAAAAATATTATTAAGAGTTATAGTCCAAAGACAAAAAAATAGATCATTGTATTACCTTTTCTGGCCAACATGGAATCTATAATGTGTTGAGTCAGTGGTGAAGGAATAAACCAACACAATTTATTGATAAATCATGTACACCTACTTATTATTATTTTTTTTACCCCTCTACACCACCTCGATTATAGTCTACCTATGTTCAAGGGGTAAGTAATAAATTAATAACTGTCTGTTTAAGTCGCAATCTTATAATTTGTTGGTTATCCGCAATGGAAACCTATTCAGCATGGATAAAAAAGCCATTGTACATTATACAGTTTAAGCTGTACTTATAAGGTACTTGATATCATTATAGTATTGAATTCATTAATTTATAATATATATAATAGATGCTACTGAGTATTCCTTTTTGTTATTAAAACCGTGTTCGAAATATGTATGGCTTCATATTAATCTACATTGGTGTAGCATAGCAACTGTATTTTAGTCTCAAATTCCATTAACTAATTTAGTATAATCACTTGACACTGGCAATATTAAAGACATACCATATCAAAAACCGCTTAAACATGTCAGTTTTTTTTTCATTTAAAATTTACTATTAATATATTGTTATTAGTAACGTGTGATTTCCCATGAATCATTTAACATCAAATACTTACATATTATAATAATATAACATTTCTTACGTGTCTGTGTTGTAGTATGTTATACTCCTTAAATTTATGCACACTATACACGTGTTTATTTAATTAAATTTGACTGCATACAATCTCTTTCAGCAAACCAAAAAGATAACCTAAACATATGTAACTATCTGATGTGACGTTAGAAGACCAAGTGCTGAAACCTCAGAGTGGAAGTAAATTATTTACTTATTTACTAAGTCAAATCAATAAATTCAAAGTGTGTCTCTACGTTTAAACGTTTGTAGTAATAGTTATTAATATTATTTGATAAATTTTAAACAATATTGTAAACGGTTTTTTTTTTTCAATTTACAAACACTAACATAATATAATGTGTTATGAATATACTTTCTTTGCACTTTAATTTTGTACTCGTTGAAATGGAATAGAAGATTAATCTTCTATTTGGACTACATGTAGGATATGAG